AGCGCACTGACTTTGATTCGTACTTTGTTGCATAAACAACGCTTGCAGTGCTGTTTAGGTGCTGTTCCAGTCTGGTAATAAACAAAAAAAATTTTTTCGAAACAAATTTATTCAATATTGTCGTCACCATTTCTTAAGTTGAAATCATACGATTTGTTGAAATTTCTTTGTAATACTCCACGCATATTCTTTAAATATTTTTCTAATGTATGAACAACGACATGACAAGGGCCAAGTGACTGCCGGCCGAGCCTTTCAAATAAGGCGGCGTAGAACTGACAAGGTGTAGGCATTAGCTTCGTTGCAGGTTATGGTGGGACGAAAGCATATGCAAAAGAAGCTATGTAAGTGTGCTCTGTCAAATCCACAAAAGGATAGAAGCCACCAGCCTTACTAACATCGCATATAAGCTTCCATGGAGCGTATTGTGTAAAAGCCTAAAGTCCAACGTCAACAAATTGATTGGACCTTAATAGCGTTGCTTTAGACCTGAAAAATCTACAATTGACTACACATTCAATTTGTGAGCATTTTTGGAAAAGATTCCTGAAACGAGGATTGACATTCACATCCCTTTCATCGGCTTCAGACAGTGTGACTGCATATCATGTGACTTCTTTTGCTGGAGAAAATAATACGAGCTTCTGAGCTGAATTGAAAATATACTTTCTTTGATAAGAAGATTTCGCTGTTAGTTTTGCTTATTCCAGATGGCAAAAGGAAGCGACAGCCATAACTTTAAAGTCGTAGATAATTTCGCCTATTTTAGAACCAGCAATAACACCAACAACAATATCACTGCGTTTACCTCAGTTGAATAGACAAATCGACATGTTCATGAAAAATTCCAAAATTTTTAATTAGAAAATTTGCAACACTATTTTTTTACGCTAGAAATGCCGTCCACTAAACTAGAATACCTGCTTAGTAGCTACGTAAATGCAAGGTATTTACATGCAAAACTGACAAAGCGCACTTGACTCCTTGTATTACATTACAAAAAAAAAATTAACTTAAGTAAAACGTTCAAAATATGCGCGCGTCATTTCCAAAAACTCGCAATTTTCGTTAGCGAGTGCTTCAAATAACCGCAAAAGTCTTTTATTCTTGCTAAAATGCTCAAGTTTTCAAAGAAATTCTGCTTTTCCTTTCAATTGATCGCCACACAATACAACCCTGCACTTAAAGGCGCCACGCAACACACGCAAACGCAATCTCACCTTCACACTACTACGCTACAACTACACTTTAACCTTCGCCAGCTGCATTTGAGCGCTCGAGTGTGAAGACTAGACGCACGGCAGACAGTGTGAGTGGGTGTTGCCAGCGCGTTTGTAGTTTCACGAAGAAAGTTTTCGAGCAAATTAAGAAGTATGAATAGTATAGTTGAGTAGTCGAATGAAGCTAAGTGAAAAAGCAGAGAAGAATGTCAGCGAAACATGCTGAGCAACAGTGCAAGCATACGCACATGTGTGTGTGTGTGTACATATCAGCTGCAATATTTGCCTCTAATGCTCTCTTTCACGCAACAACTTCAGTTGTATGGCTTTAGAAAGTTGTGTGCACTTCCACTTGCTTACATACGCACACAAATTCTCAAGCGTCAAGCAACAACAAAAAAAAAAAAGAAAAAATAACCGCAATAACCAGCTTTAAGCGCAACAACAAACAGCGAACGAAGTGCTGTTGCTCTGCTGCAGCCAGCAAGCCAGCACGCCAGCCATATTTGTTGGCTGCTCATGTATTTTCAAGTGTTGTTGCATGGCATTGCGAAAATGCAAAAACAAAAGTATGTGTGTAAACTTGAAGATATGCAATGCAAAAAGCAAAAACAGAAAAATATAACAAAAACAACAACAGTATAACAAAAACAAATATAAATCCAAAAAACAACAACTGGCAGGGAAGAAGATGTAAGCAAACACAACACACAACTTGCAAAAATAAAACTCGAACGCAGCGCCGCTGCTTGCCACAGTGTGAGTGCGCAATTTTAATGGCTGCGCTTCGATTTTTTGCACGGCATAACTGAATAGGTCTGCAGCACTAAGTATGCCATGCTTTTATTTGTATTTTTTTATTATAATTTTTTTGATTTTTGCATACTGCCCGTTACCCATGCAACATGCCTTATTTTTAGGGGTAAGAGTTGCCGCGAAATGCTTTGTGCAAAAACATTGAAATATAACGGCGGCAAATTGAAAGTGAAGCGTAATACATATGCTGCTGGTAGTTTGGCTTTTTGCATTTAATTGAAGTGCCTATCCGCTTGCAATTGCGCACAGCCGCTTTGCCAACCCGCTCGCCCCGCCCGCACACACATGCATTCAAACGTTTGTGTTCGCGTTTGCCTGCTCATCCGACAGACATTATTGCCAATTGTACTTGTATGTTAATTTGCAATTTGTGGCGCATGGTGCGCGTAGCGGCCGCCACCGCAGTAGGGCACTTTTGTGTTACACATGCAGCTACATAAGTGTGTAAAAAATATTTCGTAGGCGTTACTTTGGCACTCAACGCACTTTCTTTTTTGCATTCAATTCGTTTTTTTTTGCATTTGCAAGAACTTTGCATTTGTTTTTGTGTTTTTTTTTGGCATGGGCGCCATGTCGCATATTTGTCATAATTGAATTTGTATACGAGTATGAGCACTTGTGCTACATTAATGGCTGCAGCAGGCAAGGTAATTTAGAGTGTGAGCGGTAATTAAAAAAGTAGATGCAAAAATGAAATAAAAAAGAAAAATAAACAAAAATAAATATTTCTGAAATTATTTTTAAATCAAAATTTTAATAAATAAAAAATATCAGAAACTTATAAAAATATATAAAATAAAATAAAAAATTGTATTAAATAAAAAAATATTGTAGGTATAAAAATAAAAAATTTTTTTTTTGTGCCTTTAGCTTTAAGAATGTTTGTCACAAAATTAAATATTTTTTTATGAAACATGAATTTAAGTTTCAATTCGGAAACAACCTTATCTCGAAGATACATTTTCTGTACCCAAAAGCATGTTTTTAAACTCAAAAAATATGTGCTTAACAACTAACACAAAATTTAATGTCGGCATCCATTAACTCTGTGTCAACTGCGCCATTTTAAAAATTATTTGAAAGGATATGTTCTTGTCGAATGATGCCAAATCAGAGAGTAATTACAAAATGTACTTTCAAATATAAAAGTGCCAAGTATTGCACACTTCTAATTATCCTTCAAAGCAGCCTTTCAATTTTAAAAGCGGCAAACGTCAGGCAAGTGCCTCTCAAAACAGACTAGCGAAAAAAATCGCTGCAGCATTGGTATTGCATTTGTCAATATGACACTTCAAAAGTTAGAATGTGTCGAAACTCCTTACGAGTTTTGCATTGCGTTTGACACATGTCAATTGTTTTGCAGCGCAGTCGTATTAATGATGATGAGATGATGGCTGAGTTGTAGATTTGTATATAATTAATTTTATATGTAAGTGGTAATTGTTGATTGCCATGCAGATATGTATGGTACTTATGGCGTAATAAATAATTTTTTTAGATTAATAGCTTGTGCAAAAAAGTGCATGTTTTGCATTTGTGCAAATTCATTAGTGCAAAATTATAGCTTCATTTATTGCATATTTAATTAATAATAAAAATAATTTTTGTTTTCATAATTTTTATGATTTTAAAAGTCAGCAAAAAGTGCATGTTTTGCATTTGTGTAAATTCATTAGTGCAAAAGTATGGCTATATTTATTGCATATTTAATTAATAATAAAAACAATTTTTTTGTTTTTAAATTTTTATGATTTTAAAAGTCAGCAAAAAGTGCATGTTTTGCATTTGTGCAAATTGTTTAGTGCAAAAGTATGGCTTCATTTATTGCATGTTTAATTAATATTAATTAATTTTATGCAGTAATTTTTTTTTAATTTTTTAGATTTATAAAATGTGCAAAAAGGAGCATTTTTTGCATTTCGCACTTCTGCAAATTATTTTGAAAAATATATATTTGCTTACAGTTATTGCATATATACTTAATATTAATTTATTTTAGGCAATATTTTTTTTTAATTTGCAAGATATAGTATGAATTTTTTGAAAAAGTGAATTTTTGCCATTCCGCATTTTTGGAAATTGTTTTGTAGAAAAAAAATTATTTAGACTTATTGCATATGTAATTAATAATAGTTTAATTTAGACAATAATTTTTTAAAAATTGCAAACTCTTTTATAAAATTTGCGAAATAGTGACATTTTTGTATTTCGCACTCTTGCAAATTGTTTTGAAAAAACAAACAGTTATTTACAGTTGTTGCATAAATAATGAATAATAATTTAATTTATGCAGTAATTTTTTAAAAATTGTAAGGTTTATAAAATAGCAAAAAAGTGCATTTTTGCATTTGGAATTTTTCCAAATTTTTTAGTGAACATTTTGCCCATAGTTATTGCAGTACTTTTAAAAAGTTTTTTTTTTAGATAAATTACTTTTGGAAAAAGTGCAAAGTTTGCATTTTGCATTTTGGGCGAATCGACTACCGAAAAAAACTTAGTTACTTTTAATGCGCGTTTAATTAAATATAATTTACAATTAGTTGACTTGCAATGTAATGCAAAAAATGCAAATTTTAATTTAAGTAAATATTTTGAAAAAAATCTAAAAGTTTTCAGCGCCAAATAAATTTGCTAGCAATTGTACTTTTACAGCTAGCCAAGAACAACTAGAGCAAACTGCATAACTAACAAATGCAACACTGCAATCAGTACGTACATACGTGAGTTAGCAAAAATCCAATAAAGCACTTTAGTGTATATAATAAAATTTCCTCAGCAATTTAGTATTAATGTGCACTACACTAAATGTCAAACAGCTTTCAGCTGGCCAGTCTATAAACTAAATAACGGCACTAACTCCTTGTGTCGGTGCAAACATATCAATCACAATAAATAAAATGGCAATAAAGTGAGTTAGAGCGAAAAAGCAAAAACCAAATATATGCAAAACAACAACACACTCACCTGTATGCGATCCTCAGCCAAACCCGTCTTCATCGAGAGTAGCTCACGTGCGCTAACATCCGGATAGTGCGCCTCCTTGAATGCCTTCTCCAGCTCCTCCAATTGATTGCTCGTAAATATTGTACGGCCATGTCGTCGTTTATTCTTCTTTTTACTGCTTAAACCGCCTGCACCACCGGGGCCGGCACCGCCCAGCAGCGCGCTAGGATCACCGCCGTGTCCGAGCAGGCCATTAGGTGCGCCCACAACACTTCCGGCACCGGCCATGCCACTACCGATGGCAGCTGCTGCCGCCGCCGCCGCCGCAGCGCCATTAAGGAATGCCTCATGTGTGGCGCCGGCATGCGGATGATGGGCGTGTGGATGATGCGCATGTGGATGGTGGTGTGCATGATGCGGATGATGTCCATGAAGTGGGTGCGTGTGTGCATGATGCGCATGATGGTGGCTATGTTGATGATGTGAGTGCGCATGGTGTGCTGCAGCAGCTGCGGCAGCATGATGCGCCAAAGCGGCAGCCGCATGTTCGGCGGGTGAAAGTGTGGGCCGTGTTGCTGGTGACGTGTTGTTATTGTTGTTGCCGCCGTTGTTATTCGTAGCGCCATTGTTGTTGGCGGTTGTGGCGCTGCCGCTGCACGTCAGGCTGCTACCATTCGTTGCGGACATATGTGAGATGCTGGTGCCGTTAGAGCCGTTACTTGAGTGCGCTTTGTTGGGCGAGTGTGCATCATCGTTGTTGTTATTATTATTGTTTAGGCTATTTGTGTAGTCTTGGGCACCACGTGCGGCTTGTTCTGTGTGGAAGAGAGAGAGCAATGGAAGACATGTTGTATTAAATTTGTGATTGAAAATGAATAAATGATGATGAGTTGATAGGTTGAGAGCGAATGGAGAAATTCTTAGGCCATAAAGTTGCCATTTCATTTTATATACTTATACTGAAGAGGGTATAGTAATTTTGTAAGAAGTTTGTAGCCCACAGAGGTAAACGTCGGTGGCCCTATAGGTACATATATAAGATATACAAATGATCAGCGTGACGACCTAAGTCGATTATGAGATATCTGTCTCTCTGCTCGTTTGTCTGTATATATATATGTACTCCAAATATACCGTTCAGATCGGACGACTGTAGCATATAGCTGCCATACAAAGTGAGATAAGTTATAAGAAAAGCGTATTATGGTTTCGGTGCAATCGAAGTTGTAGTTTTAATAATAATTATATTATTAGTATATGTTTACAGTTATGTGCTTATACCAACTTAAACAAAAGTTATCGCAACATCTATAATCTCCCCATTGAATTAAGTATTTAAACCAATTATTTCGCACACACTCTCAATAAATGCGTTCAACGGCACTTAAATGTCAATTTTGACATATCGTGCGTATTGTAACCCTTTCCCTACACTAATCGCCGTACAATTGTCAAAACACTTTCTCCTCTTTCGCCACATGCGCGCAAAGGATTCCACTTAATTTGGCCACAAAGGCGTTTGCAGGAAAAATATAACGCACACAAATCGCCCACTTCAAACGAAATCCAACACACATAATCCCGCATAATGCCAGCACAATAAAAATAAACCATCAAACATACTTACAAGGGCCTATATCGAATTTCACATGCCATAATTGGCATTAAATACCCTCGCATACACATTCAACACACGGCTATTGTGGACAAAAAGGTAAAATTTTAATTTACTTAAACTATTTCCTTATGCGATTTCAAATAATACCAGCACGTTCGTGAAAGAACGCTGAAAATTGAGCCTCATTTCCCGCAGCAGTCAGACAAAACAGCGCTTCTTTGCAATGCAAAGTTTTTCTGCTGAGCGTTTTTTTTTTTTGTTTGTAAATTAAAGCAGACAAATTTATTTTATCTGCAACACCTTTTTGCCGGCTGACTGTCACAATAGAATGCGCCCATAATTCGTATGTCTTGTGTGTACAATGTGTGTTGTTGCTTGTAAATTTATTTACCGTATGCCACAAGGTGTTCGTGTGCAGCCGAATTCATGTATGGCTGTGGTTCGTGTGTCGCTAATGCCATTGTGTGCGACTTAAGATGTCAACAATGTGCCATTTTGGCGAAATTTGTGTTGGGTTTGCATACATTATGTACTGCCAGTAGCGACCCTGTAGGGAATACATCTGACCAGCATGCTTTTGCTTTACATTAGTTTAAATTATATGCTTAAGTCGTTGCAAATTTTTTAAAATATAACCTATTTGAGGTTTGTGCTGTTATATTTTGTGACAAAAGAGGGGTACTACAAGTTTTACAACTACCCATAAAGAAGGTATTTAGAACAAGTCCCCATGGCAGGAACGAACGTAATGCCGAAACATTTGCCCGTTTTCGCGAGAAGTAGCAATGCTTAGAAAAACATTTTTAAATATCACTCATTTTGATTTTAAATTACGAGTTCGCAATTTTTTTTCTTGTCAATTCTGAAAGTATTTCCTCTCTAAGCCATGGGTGTCAAGACGTTACTGTCACTAAAACAATTATTTAGCATTATTAAAATCGAATTTAGTACAGGAATGGCACGAGTTTCGGCTCACACATCTGCTTTCAGTAATGGCAAATTGAGCAAATCAAGCAGTGACATGTTACTTCATCCACAATATTCTCTAGATCTGATCCCATTGTGCGGTTAAAATCACTAACTGGGCTAAACTTTGAACTTAAGATTCCAACAATTTGTATGGCTTAAAAAGCCTTTTTAAGCTTTTAACCATAATTCGAATGCTTAACCTATCAAAACTTGGCTATCTACTTTGTTTCCTATCATTACTTCCATATAAACCAGTCCAATTTTTTACTGAGAATGCCTTTGTGGTATTGACATATGTAAGTAACGTCTATGGCGACCAGTTTGACAAGCTTTTAACCATAGTCTGAAAGTTCAAGCAATGAAAGCTTAGTTTTTGACCTAGTTTTTTGTAAAGATATGGCCAAAACCCAGTCAGAGTTTCTACTAGGAAGGCTGAAACTTAAAATAAGTGACGGTAACAAATATCACAGGTTTTTAACCATAAGGCGAATCAAAGTTTGTATTGAGATCTATTTTCATAGCAACATACTTCTAGAAACCAGTCACAGAACCCACTATGGAGGTCTGATTCAATGACTCATACATAAGCTCACACCTATTAGATGTGATTATGGGTGCTAATTTTCAAGTTTATTAAAGAAAAAACAGAGAGGAAACTCACCACAGTATAATATTTAATAATTAACAGACTATGTGAAACCATGATATAGGAAATCTTCAACTTCAACTTTCCTACCGAGTCATTCTTAAGCTGCCATGTGTGAGCACTATTCTCATATAAAAACGGCTCCTGCTACAAGAGAGAAGTTTTCGCAAATCGCATTTCCTCAAGCAGCCAACAAAAAGTGAAGCGACACGCATACAAGCAAAGCAATATTTGCACACACACGCACTTATATACACACGAAAACATATGGCTATCTGTCAGTTTTGATTTCAAGGAAGTGGTGTGATTTCTCGCATGCGATAAACCGACATACAGCGCAAGTCAATTGCTGAGGCAGAGCCTACTATGTTAAAGTGGTCGAGTGTGAGTGCAAACTGTAAGTGCGAAAGTGTTGTCAGCGCATTTTTGCACGTTTGACAAATGTTTTTTCAAACGCCATTCAAGCAAAAGTAGATTGACAAGCCGCGATTCTTTGTCAGCTATTTTGAATGTCAACTGTTTCGTGTTGGTGTGTGTGTGTGTTGAAGGGTTAAGTTACCTTTTCGCACATGTCTTGCAACCCAAAAAAAAAAATAACACAAATTTCCGCGTAGCAGTTTACAACAATTTTAAAATTTCTGGTTGTATGCCGTACGCATGTATTTTTATTGTATATACTTAGTGTTGTGACAATTAGGGTGTTAAGTGGTTCAGCCACGCACACATACATACATACATACTATGTTTGTGTGTATTTTAACAATGATCACATCAAATTATGCTGAAATGGATTAAAGGTGTCCTTTTTATTTATCGCCTTTTGTTATGCTGATAACACATCGAGGCATGGCAGGCCTCGATTGTTCGTCCTTTACATTCTGCGCCTAATTTGATTTGTTGTTGCGATCTGTTTATCACTTGCTTAGTTAAATTTGAGCAGATTAAGGTTATTGTATTTCAATTTGAGCCAATCATGCTTATGAAATGGAAAATAATGTTGAACTCAAGTTATAAAAATTTTAACTGATTTCTGTGCTGACAGCAAAGAGCAGAAAACGGCGGTGATTAAATGATAAACATGTTGTTGAACCTATGTTAATTATAGATTAACAAAATAAAATTATTTTTTTAGATTTAAAAATTTTTGCGAAAATAATCTATACTTCGTGAGGCAAGCTCCTTTTTATTATTTATGTTTTATTGATTTCAAAACACGTTCCTTAAATTTAAAAAAATATTGTACTATGGTTGGCAAGAGAGTTATAAAAATCCTTAAAAAATTTGTGATAGCAAACTTTAGTATGAGTATACCAGGGTCACTCTATATAGTATTCAATTGAAAATGATTTAGCCTATAACACATACCTTTCAGATCTAATTAAGTATTTTTAAGGCCCATACGAATATGATTAGGGTATAACTGGAGACTGTTTACTTGTAAAATGTTGGTATTTTGAATAGTTCGCGTAAGCATGAAAACTTTTCGTAAACTCAAACAAAAGGTATCAAAACTGTGATTACTGATATGCTTCTTTACTATTAAACGCGAATTCATCGCGGACCTGTCGAATTTGTTGCAAGTAAATCACCAAAATCATCAAAATCATCAAGGACATTGCCCTGTCCATCAATCACAATCTCCTCTCCCAACATATTTATTTCCAAGCAACAACTACGCCAGAAGCATACTAGATAGTAATTTTAGATTTTTGAAAGCAAGTTCATAGGTTGAAGTCATCGTTTTGAGAGCCACACATAGCCAATCGAAAAAAGGATTAAATCATTAAATCACTAAAATAATACTGTGTTCAAAAGGTAAGGTGAGGTGTTTATAGTGGTCTACTGGACTATGAATTCCTTCTGTCGAGTCGAACTGTCAACAAATTCTTTGTTATTCGCAATTATGTTTGTTTATATTAAGCTTTATGTGTCGTACGATGTTTTCCAAACTATACTGACTTTAAAAAACTTTTGAATATTCTTGAAATATTACTGAACTCAGCTTTTTTTGGTACATCACTTAGCGGAAGCTGTGTCTGGAAGCCATTAATATACGTTCTTGGCCGCAGGTAGTGTCTTGAAATCCAGTGAAGATTAATTTCGTTTTCAAACTAAAAAATTCCAGGAAGTGAAAGTCAGGAAGCACTTTCTTTTGCATGATATTAAATTACAAAATTTAGAAAAATATTTTTTAATGCAATTTAATAGTTTTCACGCTTTTGAAAGTCAGGAAGCACTTTCTTTTGCATGATATTAAATTACAAAATTTAGAAAAATATTTTTTAATGCAATTTAATAGTTTTCACGCTTTTCTTTTCTCTTTATTGTTGTTTTCTCTTGCTGTCATATCGCATTACTAAAAATCCTTGAAAACCACAAATTTTCGATACCAACAATAATAAGAAAGCAAATTGTTTAATTGAACAATTAATTGTATGAAGCAAGGACACGCTGATAGGCAGGATTAACCGCCAAATAATGAATTGAAATGAAAGTAAGCAGAGAACTAACGAAAATAGCGGAAAAATACGAGCAGTTTCAATGATTGGTGTGATTTAATTGCATGTGAGCGAACAAAGGAA